TACATGTCCAGATCAGAATTAATTAAAGATGCTTGCTGAAATTTCACGACTTCCATAGTAACAATCAAACTATGAAAAATGAGAATATCTTAATAAAACATTGATGAACATGGCAAACGCATTACAAATAAGATTTTGATGTGCTTACCTGATGGGAATCAAATTATTGAATAGAATCAAGAACGTCAAAATGTTGAATCCAAATTGTCCAAGGATACTATTGGAAGAGAGGAGTTCCAGATACGACAATTTGTTTCCATCTTTCAACTATTTTTGTATAATCATATTTAAAACGTTGGTGTCATCCTTCGTTTAGATGTGAATGTAATTCGCACTCACCGTCGTAATAGCGCTACCAAGCGAACATGCGACACTCATTGTCAACAAAATACCAAACAAGAAAATAATTTGCACATTGACCATCTTTTCTACGCTGGTTCTTTTAATAGGGGTGGCGCTGCGTCGATGAATTTATTTCAGTCACGATATCCATTGCATACGAACCTCACACCAAAGAAAATTTGAATCACCAACCTGGCATTCCTCATCAGTTTTGTTTCATGGCCAGTAAATATAGCAATACCATAGATCCATTGAGTGTTCCTCAGTTGCGCACCCTATCATAAGGTTCAATTCAAGTTTAAAAGAAAAGAATGTAATAGGACCGACGTGGATAAAAGATACGCACCCTAAGTAATATTTGTGTGGGGTCTAATCGAACTTTCTTGGCGCCATTAGGTGTGTCCATTATAAGTACACCTTCAAAAGTGTATAAACTGTTGTTCGGACTTTCCGAATGTATCTGACCTAACCACAGACAGCAGAAAGTCAATCACATTCGTTATGATAGGCCACAACGAGTGGAAAAGGAAATGGGAATGCATAATGAAAAGAATTCTACCTCCTAATTTTCCGATTTCGGAAGGTGATATCAAATGAGATGTTTCGGATGAAGCTTGTTTGATCTTTAAATTCGTTTCACTGAACATATGTGATTATGATAATAGATAATTATGCAAAGAACATCATTAATTATCTTGATAATCTTTAAGTGTGTAGTTGAAATTAAGCCTTAAGATCCGTGTGCAAAAACAAATATTTTAATTCGGCATCGATATTGCACCCCTGAATTCTGAGTATGTCAAACTAACCCGTCCAAGTTACTCGTCTCTATGTAACACAACCCTTCAGGCTCGGAACTACTGAGCAATATTAGATCAGAGGGAAAGAATTCTCCGCTTTCAACACGAACAATATCCCCTACTTTTACTTCGTTCCATTCCTTCTGTACGAATGAATATCCTTCAAGACATTTGCACATTCGCTTATTGACCTCCGAATCGGAGCTATGACGTTTCTTAAAATTTTCAAACAAATCTAATAAATATCCGGTAACAAATTTTTATGTAAAAGATTTGACTCCTGAAGTTTTTGGAAAACTCACGTAATCCTCGACAATTTCTTTGAACGCTGTAGCGGCTAGCACAACAACCAGGGTGCCCAGCGTCGTGAATTGGTTCGTGGGTGACACATCTTTAATTTGCTATAAATGAAACAGATGCACATATTTTATTAAATGCCTCAAGTTCTCCAAAGTTGCTAGTTGTTTTTCACGGATCCTATCGAACAGTATCTGGACACAGAAGATTTTTTTTGAACACCATGTCAAACCCGCCTCCCAAAATCTTTTAAATAGGCGACCGATGGAACCTCCGCATGTTATTAGAAAAAAAAGTGAAATCTACCTGAATGCATGCTGAAAAAAATACAGAGGTTGGAGATTACAAATATCTGATGTAGTTCTCACGCACGTGATGAAAGGTTAGAATTACAAACGCAACGTTACCTGTGAATAAAAAGAACAAATTTGCGTACTTTGAAAACTGTTCGTACAGGAACTTTGGCAAGAATGTGAAGAAATTATATTTCGCTGTGGAAATTTGATTGTGTAAAAATTTCTGTTGAAGATTCCGTTGAGGATCGTTGACATGTATGATCCTCCCCACTCCTTTGGGTGGGTTCACATCCCCAGCTGACGATTCTTCAGATTTAGTTGAATTTCTCATTAAAGTTTGGAGTTCACCAGCGTCTGCTGACGGCACTGTCGAAGTGAGTGGAAGAGCGGATTCGGACATGTTGAAGGTCTGGTTCATGAGACCGGTTGAATCGGAATAAAATGTTTCCTGTTCTTCGTCTTCTACCGAATCGTGATAGTACGGTTCAAGTGAAGAATAGGCTAGAAACGAATTTCGTTGGAGGTCTCCTGAAGGAAAGATAGCTGGTCTAAATGATGGTAGTGTCTGCAGATTTTGCAGTGGGACCGGCTGATTATTATTTTGGTTTTCGACAGCCAAAGAGTCGTCGAACGGGTCGTCGGGGCGTGATGGAGGCTGTCGCGGAAATGAGTTATTATGGGAAATACCAGACATTGCATAATAATAATATTGATGTACAGCACGAAACAAAGTTACTTGATGATGTCACGACTTAATTTAATTTATTATGGTACGTATGTAACGTTTTTTTTTTAATTTGTCGATGCTGACTGGATTTGTACGGTCATTATATGTAAAACTCGTTTTCTTTTAATTATAGTAAATTTATTGATCACAGTGCCACATAATCAAAAAATATTGTGATGCGTAGCACAGGATAATAAATAGTAACCATAGTAACCATGGCCGGAATTGTTGTAACTTAGTCGAAAAAAAAGGGTCGTTACATACGGTATAATCAATCAATCCTCCTTATTTATTGATTGTACAGGATTCCCAAATTCCGGATACACGTTGATGAACGAACATTCCATAATACAGGTTTGTAACTCTGTTGTTACAAGGCTAAATGAAACATTTATCCAGGAACCTTATATAAAAGATGGTAAATAATCATTTTTATTTAAGAATGAACGCGGTAGTTGATTTTAAAATGGATACATATATATTTTCAAATTTGCTTAGATATCTCCGACTGTAATAAGTCATCGATCTATCTGCTCCGCGATTGCTTAAGAGACACATCTCGTGGTGAAGGTTCATTGGTGAAAGCATCTTCTCTTGTGGATTATGCCAGAGAGAAACTCCACACATTCCCTTATAAAGATGTTCCCCTTTCTTGGAGGCGGTTCCACACTGACGCCACCTTGGTAAAAGGTGTGTGCGAAATTTTTTTGGCGATCAATCTCTTTGAAGAAAAAGGCTCATGGGAACAGGTAATAGGAACACTGGATATGACCTTGATAATGACGGGAGCACCCGGAAGTGGAAGGAGGGAAATGATATTTGAGCTTATAGAAGAAACGAGGAAAATATTGAAAAAACTCGATCACAATTCAACGATTGTCTCTTCCCAGAAAATCAAAACCGCCTCAAAACGTGTTGTTGATGACGATCTGTTTCAAAATCCGATCGACAACAAGGATTATACAAAAAAAGTAAAATCGAGCCCTACAGAAGTTATTACTGACACCCATTCAATTCCAATTATAAATAATCCGCTATCCAAAGTGTCACAACCCAGTCTGACCGCCTTCACATCCCATGTGACGTTAAAAGATCCAACACCTTTCATAATTACTTCTAGCATATCACATTGGCCCGCATTTTCAACAAGACCTTGGAATACCGATTATCTACTGGATAAAATTGGGAGAGAAAGGTTGGTTCCGGTAGAGATTGGAGCAAAGTACACAGATGAATCTTGGACTCAAAAGATAGTAAATTTTGGTGAATTTGTTGAGAGATGGATCAAGAATTCAGATAATGAAAACATTGCTTATTTGGCACAGCACGACCTGTTCACTCAAGTCCCCAGCCTCCAAGATGATGTGGTGGTCCCAGATTATTGCTTTGTGGACACGAATTCATTTGTCATAAATCTTAATCGTGGCAACGATAATAATGATCATTCGAGAAACATTCGATATACCCCCCCACAGAATATAATCACCAACGCCTGGTTTGGTCCTAAAGGAACCATCTCTCCGATGCACACTGATCCATATCATAATCTGTTGGCTCAAGTGGTCGGTCGAAAATACGTCAGATTATACTCGCCTAACGAAACTTATAAAGTGTACCCCTTTGAAAAAGATGGATTCTTAAACAACACCAGCCAGGTCAGTGCTGCTTGTTCGCGCTCAGCTTTTTTCTTTTGTTGTATGACCCGAATATTTGAAGCTAATCAAACATTTATCGTCGTCCTTAATCGAATGTCAAAGGTTGAAGTCGAGAATCCAAATCTTGATCAATTCCCGTTATTCGCTACTGCACAGTATAAGGAATGCATTTTAGAACCTGGGGAATTGCTATATATTCCAGTAAGTTCTATTGGAGTTTACTTTAGAATTAATAGGTTTTTCGTTTGCTGATCAAATTTTTTCTGTTAAAGCCTGGTTGGTGGCATTATGTTCGATCACTGAGTGTTAGTTTTAGTGTGAGTTTTTGGTTCTAAGAAAAAAAAAAAAAAAAAATTTTTTTTTTTCTTAACCTTGGAGGATAATCTTAGTATAGTTCAAATCGCGTGAATTGCATAAGATTCGAAGGAAAATTTCATTCTTTGCGACTTGGCTTTATTCTAAAACACCTATTGCGAAACAGATAACTATATATGAATAACTACATAAAAAAGAGATTTTCGTAGGAAAAAAAATATATTGAATATAAGAAAGAGGTAAATAATATGAAACAAAGGAAGAATCCCAACCACAAACTGGTTGGTTCGCTTTTTTTTTTTTTTTCTTTTTTTTCTCGAAACTTTTCTAGATGATCCAGCTAACGTTGTCTAATTGTGAACAATTAACTTCACTGGCGAATCAGTGAACATTTAAAATGAAAAGTTGAAAGAAGGTTGTTTTCCCTTGCTCCCGGAAGGACGTCGATTCTTATGGTTATCAGTAAAAATCTGATCGGAATAGAGTTTTCCTCTCCTAAAATATGAGAAAAACAAATAATTAATTATGAACGTATTCTATTTAAGCAACGAATTCATCAAAACTCACGGCACAGCGGGAGTTGAGGTCGGTGGTCTGTTAAATTTAGATCTCATTCGGTAAGAAGCAGCGCCAGTATTTATGTTGCCCCCGGGTTGTTTCAGTTGAACTTTGAGCACACGACCTGAAGAAAATGGTAATAGAAATGGAATCATATAAATTCTAGCCACGAAAAGGAAAATCTTATTTGAAAAACAAAATCTAATACCATCGACAAGGGCTGTGTTGTATTTGTTTATCGCAGCAAGTGCAGATGCTTTGCTTTCAAATGTTAACTCAGCTTTCGCGGGCGCACCTTTCACAAATCTATCTTCTTTCATGTCTAATGTCGAAATATCGCCAAATTCCATAAACGCAGTCTAAAAATAGAAATTGAATTATTGTTTAGGTATTATAAAAAAAATTGATGAGTGTTCATCCTCAACTTACTTTGATGTCATTAGCACTCGTTCCAGGTGCTAGATTACTGATGATAATAGTGGCAGGACCGCCTTCCCCTTTGAAGGAAAATTCGGTCTGCTTACCACCCGCAACACCTTTAATTGACAACCTACTAGTAACCCCACTACCTGAGGCGGGTTTACCAGTACCTAAACGTTGCTGAATGGAAAGACCTCCGTTAGCTTGACCGGGATGCTTTGTTTGTCCACCAGAAAGGAGGGTGGGAAAAAGATCGTGACGCCAAACGCCGTTAGGATTTCCTGGTCTAATGGTAGATTTTGGTTTCTGAATAGGTGGAGGGAGGCAGGGTATCAGAACAGCCGCAGTTGGATTTGATCAGTCTTGTAAACGAGTTCCAACATGTGAAAACCCCGGGGAAGTACGTAAAGATCTCAACAAATTGTTTGGCCGTTTTTCTTCAGCAATAATGGTTCTGACCATTTGTCGACCAAAAAAAACGATCTACTAGTATTTCCCAGTGTTTCCTTATGAAGCTGTTTGGATTCTTACCGGATATGGGTTGGCTTTTTGTCGAGTCAAATTTTTCCCTGCGGATCTTGCGCGAATGGGTCCTGTTCTATTTTTACTGTTGTAACTTAAGTTTCCGTTACTGGCATTAGAATTATTTCCCGTAAAGTTGCCCTTGTTTCCCTGTTTTGGCTTCTTTTTATTGGTCTTGATGATGTCGTCAAGGCTCATGTCGATTCTGTCCATTGTTGAATAAACTAAGATTTAATTAAAAACCGCGGAGTGAAAAGTATGGAAAACATGGTATGCACCAAAAACCGGATGATTTACAAGCCGAAATTGGTGATTTCCATTGGTCAAATTTCATTTCCGCAGTTGAAACAATTGTGCCACAAGAATTCTTCGACTGCATGGGTTCTATAGTGAAAATTCAAGTTTTACAAGGATTCACCAGTGCACTTGCGTTTCTTTGAATAAATTATGAAGTAAATTTTATTTTTTTAATATGTATGACGAAATATTAAACATCTATAATTTTCCTAATCTCTTTTTTAATTCATTTATCATTTCATCACGCTTCACAGAGAAGCCACCACCTTCGCCTTGTTCTTTAGATCTCATATCTTTAATCCTGACTTCACCACGATTCAATTCATCCCGGCCAATAATAACTGCCAAAGGAATTTGTTCGCGATCACATACAGAAAATTGAGGTTGTAGTTTTGGCTTATTTTTGTACATGAATTCAGCCTAGAAAACCAAAATTGAAGGAATAAGTACCGGAAGAATGTGACCTAATAAGTCTACTCACATTATACACACCTTTATACCAGCATCCCATAATTCAGCACATATCTTCATTCTATCCTCTAGTAACCCATCAGCGACGGCTATCACGAAAACTTCAACCTCATTTGCTTTGACTTGTTCAAGCGCAACCTTTTGCAACAAAATAGAAAAAACCCTTTCTACTCCGATAGAAACCCCCACACAAGGTATGTTACCTTTTTTACTACTAGCAAACATTCCGACCAGGTTATCGTAACGACCACCAGCAGCAATTGAACCCACCCCCACTGTTGACTCATCAAGATCCTCTGAATCTTTCTTAGACTTCCGAACAACTTGAGTACCATCCCCGAGTTCTATGAATAAATTAAATTATACGATATTGCGTGAAAAATAGATTATGCATAAATTTTTGCAAAAATCAGATCCTCAATTGATTTCTCACTTGGAGGTCCAGATTGTTCTGTAACTGCTTCATAAATGATTCCTGTATAATAATCCAATCCTCTAGCAAGACTAAGATCGAACGATATCTTGAAAGAATCGCACAAATATTAAAACTCGTGAATTTATGTAATAATAAAAAAAGGAACATGTTGATTCATCAAATACCTCGCCTAATATGCCAAATATTTCTAAATACTTGAAAAGAAGCGCCATATCGTCCAAACCAGATTTAGCGCTTTTATTGGCAATTAATTCTTGATTTTGGAAAAGTTCTCCCAAGAGTTCTTTACCACCTGTGAATTGGTTGAAAGGTTAAAGCCCAAATCTAGTAGATTTCTACAGTTAAATGCAAACAAACTTTATTGCCTTTTAATATAACATATCCCCCTATACGGTTGGCGACCTCAGGATCCAAGCCCTTGTCCTCGACCATTTCTCTCTTAACTTCCTCCCACGGTAACTGAAAAAATTTGTCAGAAATATTGTACAAGTCGCGTTAAATATTGAATAATGATAACACTCACCTTATCTAATTTGTCCACAGCAGAGGAGATAGGCCTGATTCTTTCTTCAGGAACGCCGCATACTTGAAAAATTCCATCGAGAATTTTACGGTGATTTATCTAGAAATCATTAGCAAATAAGTTTTTTTTTTTTTGCTACTTGATGGAAAAAGAGTAAAAAGGTCCAGCTAAAAGATCCCTTACCTTAATTGTATATTTACCAATATCAAGTGCAGTTAAACATTCACTCATAATCTTCACAACTTCGGCATCAGCAATCATTGGATCAAAAACACCAGCGACATCAAAATCCTATGAAAACCAACTATTTATCAGTCCTAAAAATCACGAACGAAAATCTTGGCGCGTATATATAGACACTCCTAACCTACACATTGATAGAATTCTCGCATACGACCCTTTGTCATGGCTGGTTGATCTCTCCGATAAACTTTTGCAATCTGATATCTTTTTATATTTTGATATTGAGCTCCGTTCATGGCCAGAAATCTCGCAAATGGGACCTAAAAAAAAAAAGTGAAAGCAAAAATAATAAGAATATCAATTGGTTCAGGATTTTCCGGTTCTCAAAATGAACACATAACTCACAGTTAGATCGTAACGTAATGAACACTTTTCACCCCCTTGATCCTCGAGATCATAAATAAGTTTGCTGTCTTCTCCATATTTTCCGGAGAGAATTTCTTTCAATTCAAAAACCGGTGTGTCAATAGTCACGGCACCGTGTTTTTTGAAAACCGAAATGATCGTAGAAAAGACTTTTTCACGAATTGCCATTTCCTTTTCATTGTAATCGCGTGTACCCTGCAGTAATTAGCGTTGTTTTAGTACTGTTTCGAATAATAACATCTTTCTCGGTAAAATCCCTTTGAATTTTCCGGACACAAGAATCTGAATTAAACTGGGCATCAAAATAAAAAAGCAAAGTTCACCTTCGGTGTTTTCAGAGTAAATTTATTCTTGCCCTTGGTGTTACCTTCATCTCCGGTGAGAGAGGCCTGCTGCTTTTGTAAATCTAAAAGAATAGCAAGTTCTGCATCTATCATGCTTTTTTCGGCATTTTGCGCCTTTAACATTTTTATTTTTTCCCCCTGTTGTTTGATCTTGGCTTTCAGAGACTCTGGTGTTACCTCCATCTTATTTTTTATTTTCTCAAAAAAAATGAAAGGTCGAATAAAGTGTTGTAGTTCTTTTCTAAGTGAATACTGCGGATCGAATAATTTACCGGAATTTTTTTTTACTTATTTAAACACGAAAGAATTGGTTACATTTATGAAAAAATTCTTGACCAATAACGTATTGTGACTCATATTGACCAAGTCTTTTTTAGATTTACGCGAGACCAGGCGCAATATACACAAAATTGGGTAACATTTTTTTGATGCGATATTGCCAAGAGCAAATGTTAAATATCAAACATACTATAAATAATAATGTTTAATGTTATTATATTCAATTATAACCATTTAAAGATTTTATATAAATCAATATGAATTTATTTATTTATTTATTTTTTCTGTAATTAAACAAGTATTTATTGTGCTTATTTAATCTTTGAGATGCATAAATGATTTTTATATATTTGAATATTTGTCTTAAACCTTAGTTTCTAAATATGATTGTAAAATAAATAAAGTTGTTTTCTTTTGTTTTCCATTTTTTAAAAAACTTGATTTCATTGCTTACAGTTTATTATTACAATTCATTTTGGCAAAATCTTGATTATATTATATTTTTAACTATTTTTTGCTTTCCTTTATCTTATTTTATAATATTTTTTATATTTTAATTTTTTTTTATAAATTAATTAAAATATTTGTTTTATTTAAACTTTTAAACATTTCTTATTAAGATATACGTACTAAACTTACTATTTATTTATTTTTTTTTATTGTATTCAAATAAAATTTTAAGAATTTTTATATTATAAGTTTAATAATATTTTACTAAGAATTTTTTATTATAGTTAGAAATCAAAGTTTTAATTTTAATTTTTGATTTTTGATTTTAATAAGATTTAAATTAAATTAAATTTTTAATTTTTTAATCTAATTAATTTAATTTAACATATAAATAAAATTTATAATTAAAATTAAAATTAAATTAAATTAAAATATATAAAAAATAAAATAAAATAATAAAATAAATTTTATAATTTAATTTTTTTTTATTTGTTATATTTATTTTTATTATTATTTTTAGAAAAGTAAAGATATTTTATATACATGATTTTTATTAAATTATTTATATTCAATTAATATATATTTAGATTTTACTATTTTAAATATTAAGTTAATCTTATAATTTTATTTATAAATTTATTAATTATATGAATTTATTATAATATACAGTGTGAGTCATAAATTTTTGGAATTGGTTTTTTTAATATAATTTTTTTAATAACTATTTAAATATTA